AAAAAAAAAAAAAAAAAAAAAAAAAAAGGAAAAGAAAAAAGAGAAAGATTAAAACAGAGAGAAAGAGAGAGCGCGAGAGAGGAAAGTATTCAACACTAAGAACAGCAGTGTACAGTAATTGTGTGATGAAATTGTCACTTTTTTAAAAATTTATGTTGCTCTAAAACTACTTTTCGTGCATGTAGTATTTGATTGTTCTGAATGATACACTAACACTGTTTTTTATAAGCACTTCTGGACTTGGCTGAGGTGGCACATGGCGTTCGTTGCAGGCTAATGTGGAGCACTTTCTTCTCCGGCAGCAAAGTCAGGGCCAGCACATCAGCTGTGGGACATGCAGTTCTAGTATACCGGCTTTGCTTGCATGCTGGATAGGTTGGAAGAAGGGCTTCCTCTGGTCCATCAGAAATGCCTGATCCACTCTCCGCTGGGAAGACAATATGGAAACCTGGCTAGAGAGGAATCCACAGGTCGTGGGACAGATGAACTGTTCGTTGCTGGGGGCTGCATCTCCCCACATGGGAATGTATGATAAAGCTGCACTGAAACAAGGCCAGAACCTGCTAGGAATCTGTCCTGGCTATTCAAGCAGCAACTGAAGCATCTCCTGTGAGCAGAATGTGGCAGACTAAATGAAAAACAATACGCCTCGATAGTTTCATTAAAAGCCCTGATCTCCTGTGAACTTCAGATTAAAAGACTGTATGGGCTTCTGTTCTCTGTCTTCTCAGTCCCTGGCCCCACAGCGCTGCAGTCTGCCATACCCAGGTCTCTATTCAACAGGATCAACGCAGGCAATCGGAGTCTTCTTTTGTGTTGCCTTCATTTTACGATACTTTCTTTTCTCCAGCAGCTTGTTTCTGCAGCTTTACTGTCTTTGGAAATCCAGCTGAGGTGCAGAGGTCTAACAGAATCCACTCACACACACACAAAAAAAAAATCTATAAAATAATAACAAAATGACATATATGTCAGATTGGCACGGTCCAGAGCAGTTAAGTGGTTAACAATCTTACTAATATATTCCTGAAATATTTCTTTACCACTCAGCACACATCTTCACAAAGGAAACATTGAAGATATAGTTTGAACTCAGGCCTCTTTGAGTCTGGGGGCATTTTGCAGCCGTATTCTGGATTCTTCAATGAAACATTCATTCAATTCCTTTTCTGTTATCATTTTATTGAGAAAATTAGGAAGGATTGATGCCATGGAGTGGGATTATGCTGATAAGTAAACCCTTTCTAAAATGAACAAAATCAGTTTATTTCTTCCCAATGATAATTTGTCTCTTTCTACAGCAGGAAAAGAAATACAATTGTCCACATGTGAGTGTTTGGAGTAATTTGAGATGCTTTAGGGTATCTAAGACAGCCACAATTTTGGTAGAAATGACATAAAACATGTAGGAGATTGGTATTCCTAGAAGAGGAGCTGGAGGACCCCCTAGGACAGCACTACAGATGTATGAGTGGCCACTTGACATGCACACCAAGTTTCTAAGACAGATGAGAGGGGTCTGGAAGTTCGTGCCTTTCTCCACCAATAATAACTGGCATTTAATGGTGGTGTTTTGTACTGCATATGGTTAGATTGGACTAGTCACCCTCTGCTCCCCATAATCAGAAGAGAGGGAAAGGTGCTTAACAGTGTACAGTTCATCCCTTCTCAAAACAATCACGCCCTGAAAGTGTGTCTTTTTTTCCAACTAGATATAAAGGAAGACAGGACTAAAAGCGTTCATATTCTTTGTAACCTTCTAGTGCTAGTTAAGACACATAACATTCTTCATGACCTGCTTTAGATTTATCAACTTAGAGACTGTAAAGATTCTCCAAAGGCATTTAAATATATGACGTAGGGAACCAGATGATTAACTTGATCAGCCTCACTCTTCAAATGTATGGAAGAAAACAAAACATTTATGGCATGATACTGTCCTTTTTGAGATCAGTAAGGACACTCATCAAGGTGAGAAAGCATGCTAAATCTAGCAGAGTCCCTATTTCCTTGTGTGAGGAAATCTGAAACAAAACAAAAAATCCCTATGATTTTGTTCAGATTTGTCTTTGCTCGAGTGTATAACTTAGGTACCTACTTTAATACCATCAATCTAGGCTTCCTCTTTGCAGGGAAATGAGGGAAATACATGCATCTCCATGGGATTCAAACTCCTTAACTCACTAGTATCAGCTAAGTGCATAACAGAAATTAAACTTTGCTGAATTAAGTTGTCACTCCAGTGCTCTGTGCTAAAATCAAGTGAATGTTCTTCAGTGATGTCTTCAACACCGTCTGCTTCACTGTGGAATCACTCTAGAAAATGAAATACTTGAGTGTGGACATAGGCAAGCATGGGTTAAAAGTGAAAAAGAAATTCGTTTTCTATTGTCCAAACTGAAGGAGAGAAAGAAAAAGGGGAGAAAATTAAATATCTGACTGTGTCACTGAGACAGATTTGCCTCACAAAAATGTACTGTGGAGAAATTTAATTGTGGTTCTCTACTTCAAGATGTGAATAAATTCGAATTGTTTTAGTGGACGGAGGAGAGAAGTAAAAATGTTTGAAAACCCTTTTCTCATTTCTCAGTGAAGTATCAGTATTCTGAAGGTGGGGAAGTGACTGTGTAGATTATTCTGTAAAACTGTTGAGAAAGCAATAACTTACTATAACCATGCTTGATATTTGAAATAACATGTATGCAGAATTATTTGAAATATTCACCTATTTGGGGTATGATCCAAGGTTCCAACAGTAATTTATTTAAAGATTTGCACCTATTGTTATTGCAAAATCCCTATGAGCCTTTGCTCTGCTGGCAACAATTGTTTTTTCATCTTGATGATCACTTGATCTATAAATATTAACAAATCTGGATATTCTTAAAGACCCAGAACTTCTAGTTTTAGCCTTAATGACCTCTGGATTTTTTGAAGGTTTCAGTATGGATCTGGTTCAAATTGATTGAACTCCTAGAAATTCTTACCATTAAGAATCTGTTTGCATCTTCATCTCCATTTTTCCTATTTTTCCTTTGAAATCTTACCATATTAAAAAAAAAAAAAAAAGAAAGAATCCTTTTTAAAATTTAACTGCAATGTTTATTGTCATTCACAGGCTTTGTTATTTATTTTTCTCAGTACTTAATTTTATTGAAAGAAAAAATATTCGCTACTCCCTCTTCTGTTGAATTATCTATGGAATAGTTTGACATCAGAAAGCCTTTGGTTTTCAAAATTGAATCTTTCAGTGTGGTTTTAACTGATTAATTCACTGAGGTTTTGGTTAAAATCTCAGCGTAAGTTCTCATCCATTTTCTACACATACATGAACATTGTTCCCATGGTTTTGCTTTTATTTTTGCTTTTGTTTTTGCTTTTGCTTTTTTTCCCCCCATTTCTAAGACTTCGTCTCTGTGGAAATATCCTCATTTCAAAACACACTCATGAATTAGATCAGCCTGAAGGCCAGGCATGGTTTGAAGTTACTGAGTGCTCACTGGTAACCAATTCAAGTGTATTTGTACCTCTTTGACTTTGAAATAAACCTTATCTGACAAAAAGAAGTTCTCCCTTTGTGAGATGATGGAATTGTTTATTCCACACTGGTCAAAAACATCTAAATACAAAAAAGTGCCCAAACCCATGAGTCATTGCAATGTTGGAAACCTTGAAATGATTAGGTTCATATCTCAAGAGCTGTCCAAGTATTTGGGTCCTGTGGTACTTCAGGCTATTTTCCAGCTTTGTACACATTGCATTTTTCCCACCATGACTACCAAAACATGTTGAATACTACCATTGAGTGACAAAGACCACCCTCTTGGATTTATTAGCAACTTAAACATGAAGTAAACTTGCTGATTAACCACTCTTCATAGAGTAAGATGGTATTTATTGTAAGGTGGGCACAAAGAGCTTGTGGCATTGACTAAGTTTAGAAGGTAAGTCTCTAGCAGACCTACAAGTGATGTTCTCACCTCCAACCTCTACCCTAAGAACTGGGTTTCTGTTCACAAAGGCTTCCATTAATACTATGAAATGGCAGAGATGAGTAGCAAAGGGATAGTTTTACGCAGATTATGAGGACTGGTACAGTATTTATGTGTCTTGTGAAGGGGAGATAAGCAGCAACCTGCAATTGACAACTGAAAACTGCCAAGGGTTCTGTCCCTCATGCTGCCATCCTAAACCTTAATTCTTTTCAGGTGTCATTCTGTTGCCTTGGGGAATTAGCACAGGGGGTGAATTCAGATCTTTCGTTTACCTTTTTTTAAAAGATAATCTCCAGTAATCGCTGGGAAAAGACTTCACCTCTCCAAATCAAGAAGGAACCTGCCCTTTGAAGCTTCTCTTTAACTGTTCCTAAAAATAACAAAAAATCTGCTACTAAGAAGATGAAAAGTACAGTCCTCCCAAATCTGGGACCTCTGTGTACATATTTCCTCGGCTCCTTTGAATGCGACTCAGTGGCACATCTGCTGCTCACTATTTTACAGCAAGGCTGAAGAGGGGGTGCTTTTGTGTCCTAATAGCTAATTTCTCTAACTGCCTTTTTATTTGTTTGATTGTTTGTTTGTTTCCTAATATTCCTAATACCAGAAAGCACATTTCTTCTTAGATATCTTAGGTATCCAAAAGAGCTGCTGATGACTTCCATTGCCGTTTGACTTTCCTTTAACTTTTGG